CAGTGCAGCATGGCCTCGCCCCCTTTGCTGCCTTTTCCCGAGGGCGGGGTTTATCTGGGTTTGTTACGCCACGAACCCGGGAAGTTACTTGTTGTAGTCCCTACCAGCCGTTTTTGTAGGCATTAAACTGCCAGAATTTTAAAAGACGATATCTCCGTTTGCATTGAACTTTCAGCTTCGTCACTTTGCAGATATTGTTTATGCTCCAACAGCAACATTACACATTAACGTTAAAAAAGTGAAATCGCATTCAACCACCCCTTTAAATGTTCAACCTAATGTTCAAGCTTTTAACATATAATTCTCAAATATTAAACTTCTGTCCACAAAAATGTTGGAAATCATGTGAATGTATAAATAATGTGAAATTATTTTCATAAATCCGGATGAAAGCATGTTCCACACCAGGGGCCCGTTCTTCGTACCTCGCTTAATACAGCTGAGATGATTTGAAAGATGCCAGATCTTCTAATCGTGATAACTGATCTCTGGCTAATTTGGTTCTTCAAACGAATTTGCGGATTTGATTAAAATATCTGGATTAAGTTGTCTAAGATTACTGCGCGTTCTTGTGTTCCCCGAAAAGGGCAGATGTATCGATGCTCGAGACCATGATCAGCAATGCAGCGATTGGCTGGCGGCAAGACAGCAACGTAATGACATCATATCATTAAAAAAGACACCTGACGAAAAACGTGACAAATTTCTGGACTTTTTTAAGGAAATATAAAATATTATACCAAATATACATAAATGGTATAATAGATCAATTAAAGGTGCACAGTTTTTATTTTATTAATTTTTTTTTACATGATTCCCAATTATATATATTCACGATTTCTAGTATTTGTACAGGCTTTACATTTTTATTTCAATGTTGTAATTAGCAATTCATTTAATTTTATCTTTGAAACAGATTTGTTACGTGACAGCATTAATTAAAGTTTCTTAATGGTCAAGATCATGTTATCTGCATCTCCTGCGCTCCATCAAGCCACTCCCATAATAGCGGTCCCCACTCAAATTAATGCACGGCTCAGACTAATTGTATAGCATTTGTGTAAGACTCCAATACATTTATAAAGTAATTCTTTTATCATGAATAAATATTTCAACGAGTAAAACTGGCTGTGTCTATAGTATAATAGATTACACAACATTATTATATAATTTTTCAATTATTTTTTAAAATTACTATTATTTTAAATTACTGTCCGTGGATCAGTAGGGTACTCTTCTAATAAAGTAGCAGTGGCTGGGACAGATTTTAAGTATCAATTTTGCTTAAAAAGATGCAATCTAATCCTGTTTACATGACATAAGCCTGCTCCTGAGTAGGTTTAAGCTTATGGACCTGTTGCTATGACCGCAACTCTGGGAAGAGCTTTGAAGAACCAACCAATCCAAGATCAAGCGAAATCGTCAACAATCAAATCCTGCTAACTGAGTTAGCGACATACGTAGAACGGACCCCAGGACACTCATTTATCAACAGTGCGTACGCACAGATGTGTGCGTAATGAGTGCGTCAGAAAACTTTCATGCAAAGTGTGGGATCTACCAACTTGTACTTATACGTAGGAATGTGTGTGAATATAAGCACAACTCTGAGCATGCTTACAAAGAGAATCTAGAGGTAGAATGGTTATACTACAAAAATGAATAAATACTCTATTAATAATTTCATAGTTCAAGCCACACATTTGCATAATTGGTGTGAAAAGCTATAAAATACAGCTGGGAAGTCAATTGACATGTAGCTATAGTGTCATGGCTGATCTCGCTTTGCCGGAAGATTCGGCAAACCATGCGCTGCGCAGAGAACGCATTTTCAAAGACTGTGCTGATCTGTTTAGTGAGAGCACAGAATGGCTTCTCAGTCGGTACCACTTTCTTTGCCATGATTTTGGTGAGGACATGTACATTCACATGATTTATAAAGGGAGGTGTTGCCACCATATATGGTTTATTGGAGGCATTTCTGAATGCAAATGACCATGAACGTGATGAGCATAGTGCTTAAGAATGTGGGATTTATCGACAATAATTACTTACTGGTGTGCGTAAAAACCACATGCGCACGTTTTTATAAATATGGATTTTTTTTTTTGTACTTATACACATTCTAAATTTCATTCGTAGGACAAAATATAGAACCTTTTCTACGCACTGTTGACAAATGAGGGCCCAGGAAATTTCAGAAGGATTTCTGTCTTTTGCTTTTTCCAAATCCATTTGAAGTACAATGCAGTCTACACACTTGTAATACTGGAACTGTATGCTAGTGTTATAGCATTTATATTATCTGACAGCATTAAGTCATAAAACATTACATGTGTATTTTTCCAAAGGTGCCATTTGTTCCTCAAGTTTTAAATCCACAGCCTCCTGATTTCAGGCCCAATCATTTCCATGATCTTAACAGCTCAGAGGTAAGAGAAGCTTGAACACCAGTTGCATTATTTGGATTCGGGGCGGTTTCCTGAACAGGGTTTAAATTAAACCAAGAGTAGGCTTAATCTAGAATAGTTAATCATGGTTTTAAAAATGGCTTTCTGAAACACAGATTAAGTACAGATTATTAACTCCTGGACTATGGAGTCCTGAACTAAAATAAACTTGATTAATTTAAAACCAACTGTGCTAATCTGACAGACTGCTTAGCACGACAGAGGTTGCCTATAAACATGGAATGAACCAAGAAAAGCTTAAAATGGTATGGAACTGAGAAGCAAATCCAAGGAAAACAATAGCAGCGGAAAAAAAGACTGCAATCATAAAACAAACAATCAATAAAAAAATGTTAGTGAACAGGAGAAAACTTTTTTTTAAATCAGGTGTCGAATAAAAGAGAGAGAGAAAGTGTCATGGTCAGAATTATATTGGCACCCAAAGAAAATATGATCAATAAAGGTTGTGAAAATAAACTTTTTTGACCTTTTGATAAAAAAATTTTTTTTTTAAAGTTAAAAAAAAAAAAGTATATTTTCAACAAAATCACATTATAATAAAAATATTTTTTTCTCTTATACACATTGGCCACAATTATTTGTAGTTCTAGAAATTCTTATGAGTATAATGTCTGAAGATCTATATTCCCATTCATATTTACTTTTTATTTTTACTATATTTACTTCTTTTTTTTTTTTTTTTACTTTTAGCACACCAGGGTGACTATAGGAACATGAAATTATCCAGCCATGACTTCCTGTTTCACAGTATTATAAATATGAGGAACACAAAGGCCAAATTCCCTTTATCATCCATCACAATGAGAAAAAACAAAGAATATAGTTCTGATGTGCAGCAACAGATTGTTGAGCTTCACAAAATATGAAGTCAAGAAAATAGAACAAAATAGAAATTTAAAAAGAAAGCTAAAGCATTTAACATTTCCATTTCCACCATTAGGACAATAATTACGGAGTTCCAATCAACAGGAAATGTTACAAATCTGCCTACAGTGTATTGAAATTAAAATGAGCTTTCCCTTCTATTTTACTTCTATAAAAGGTTAGGGTTTTGTGTGTGTTTTTTTTTTTTTGGGAATAAAAAATAAAAATAAATAAAAATAACAGTGCAGATTTATTTTCACAGGCTCTTTGTTCATATCTACCAAAGGTGCCAATAATTTTGATGTTTAAAGACTGGAAACAACATTAATCTGAAGTTTTATTTTAATTTAAGCCTCAATTTAGTCCTGAGGTAGCTCTACGGTGCGGTCCAAACTCCAGAGTGCACTTTGGAGTGAAAACAATCATGGCCACCATATTGAAGGGTCATTCCAAACCGAAGTTCTCAAAACTGGCCACTTCAAAGGGCCCTTTGGAATGAAGGATTTCGAAGGTAACAACTGATGGAACACTTCGAGCTCCCATGATTCTTTGCACAGATTCTTTGCATGATGACGGCGCCTCCGTCTGGACACGGGGTGATGATGCAGAAGGGCACTTTAAGAAACAGTTGTTTGGTCTCCTACACCCTTCAACCCTTCGAAGCTCTCACTCCGGAGGGTAAACCCTTTGAAGGGATTAGGGCATAGGGATGAGCCCTTCCGAATGGAACATAGGGCTAGTCTTCCTCCAGGAAACCAGCCTATTAAAATCTGGACTATACCAAGTATAAGGCTATTTAAAACCATGACAGAGAAAGCAGATTTCTGTTAATCTGGTTTAAAGGGCCATTTTAGTCTAGGACTAGGCTTAATCTCTGTCCGGGAAACTGCCCCTTAAGCGTTCAGTGTCCATGTACTGGAAATGTGTAAAGCACTCATTAATGGGTGCAATAATTGTTTAAAGGGGCCATGAACTGCCTTTGATTTTTATTTTGTACTGTTCTCTGAGGTTCACTTATAATGGTATCAAGATGTTTATATAAAAAAAAATAGTAATAGGCAATTTTCTGTCCTGTTTTGAACCCCCCTCATCTGAACACTCTGTTTGAATATGTGTGGCGGGTTGAAGACTTAAGTAAACGCCCACTGGTATGACTGACTAACAGTTTAGCAGTTTTTCACAGATGGACACTGCTGTGATTTAGGTTAAATACACACAAATAACCTACTCAGTACATATCAAACAATCTGTATTAACAGACAAAGCAATAGTGACCACATATTAAAACAGTAACTCATGCTTGTGTGGTGCGGCATTACTGTCAGATCCAATATAGTCGGCACAGCACTGTCTTTTAGTTTCAGTCTTTCTGAAAATCCTGCATTGAACTGTGCCTCATTTGTAAACGAATCCACGGTAAAAGAAGTGAACAAAGGACCAAGTTCTTACGGATGCAATCTGGAGCTACATTAAAAATAAAGTTCATCCACTCTTTCCTAATGTTGGGATCAGAAGGAAGGCATTGCAAAGACTGTTTTTCCACAACTTGGCACTGCATAGCGTCTTCTGAGCCATCTTTATTATTTGGTTTCTGCGTAGACCTGCATTTGCCAGTGTTGCCAACTGCTTTCAATTGAAAGTAGCTAAAACTGGTAGCTAAATGTCACTAGATGACATCATAATGGCAAATTCACTGATCTATATAAAGATGAATATAGATCAGTGGGCAAGATGAGAACTTAGATAAGGTTTGTCCAAGAAATCTAGCGTAGCGTTAGTTCTGGCAGGTCACGTTAGTAAAGCTCACATCAACTGACTCTCAGCTGATCCCCATCAACCTATGGGAATACGACACCTATCTAAGCATTCATATATAAGGTCCCTCAGTATTATCAGCAGTTTTCACATTGCTCAATAGCTAATTACCCTCCTCCATCCCCAACTCCTCCTCTGTCAGTCAAGATTCAGCCTTCTGATTCTCCTTTGAATCAGACTAATTCTAAAATGTGTACATAACATTATTGAACTTTAACAATATCTGCAATACATTTATGTTGGTTCTGTTCTGTTTACCCTGGGGGGGTTATCGTTGCTCTCCCTGCTCTCATCCATGTCAATCATCTTTGACGATAGTGGTCCTGACAGAAGTTGCTATATTTGTCCCTAAACATTTTTAAAAAGTCTCAAAAGGGGTGGGGAAGTCGCTAAATCTAGCTACAAATTGCTAAATTGGCAACAATGGTGTTTGCCTCTCGTTATTTACACCACATGCGCAAATTTGTGGGCGGGGCTAAGCAGGCAGTAATGTAGAAGCAGGCGTTGATCATCTTCTGTGGAGGCAGGGTTTAGCCACACTATTACGTCATAAAGCGACACATTCCACAACCTGTCGTGTTGGAAGATTGGTTTCAATATAAGCTCTTTTTAGACTAACAAGAACGTTTTGAGTTCTGAAACTTATGGTAAGTTTATATAGTACAATGACCTCTTATGGGTCAAAAGATAAAGGGATTTTTGATTTCTCAGTTCCTCGCCCCTTTAATAAGCAATCAATAAGCAAGGAAGCTGATCGTATACTTTTTTCTTTTTTTTTTGCAGATACCTGTGGTCAGCAGCTCTTCCATGAACCACCATCATGCAGAAACCCTCCCACAATACAGTGAATGTAAATAAACATTAACCAAAAAAAGTGGGCAAAGTTTGGTCCTGCAGTTGTTTGTGATGCTTTCGTGGGACACATGGGCTTTCCATTTATTTCCTGTCCATTATCTTTAATGTCCTTTCATTATTTTATCAGATAATATATATTTTTTAAATGACATTTGTAAACAAAAAATATTAAAGACTAGATGCTATTTCATGATTTTTTTTCTTTTATTAAGTCAAGAAAGTTGCATAATCATCAGTGAAACTGGATAGAACCCTTTTGAACAACTATAATTGCTTAATACCGTATAATCTGTAAGAATAAAATATACAGAATGAAAAATTGCTTATTCATGTCTTAATTAAAACAGAAAAAAATTGTGTTTCTTAAACAAGGGTGATGAAACTGTCATTCACTCCTCAAAATACCCTTACTTTTTTGCTTTAACAATGGTAAACAGATATAAACATACATATAAACAGTATTCTATTTGTAATAAAGCGAGCACCATCAGCTTGCTTGGGGTTTAGTGAGTGTCCGTAAAATGCTGGCTCAGCCTGCAGCTACACTCTGGTGCAAGGTATAGTTTTTATTTACAGTGCCAGTAACCTACAGTCAGGTATGGACCAATCACAATTTCTGCTTTTTCAAGAATGTTATTCTGCAAAGGAAAGAAAAGGCCCATGATAAGCTGTCCCCTGGAGAAGCAGCCATTTTAAAGAGGGACATACCGGTGAAAAGCTGAGTAAAAACTGTGGCGGGCAGCCGTGGAAAGGGGAGCAGGTGAGATAATGAAAAAAGGCGGGCAACCTTAAGACAAGAGAGAGCGTGGTTGGCTCAGGGCTGTGTAAGTGCAGAGATTGCAAGAAGCGAATGTCAACTGAGGAAGGGCGTAGCAGGGGTTTTATGTGCTCGGTTTAGGGGCAGTCCTTTACCTGCCATTGGGCACACTGTCAAGCCAGACTTGATGCAATTGGATGCTTCAGCAAAGGTCAGCAGTGTTGGGGAAAGTTACTTTTAAAAGTAATGTATTACAATATTGCGTTACTCCCTAAAAAAGTAACTAAGTTACTTTTTATGGAAAGTAATGCGTTATGTTACTTTTTAAATCTGGGCAAGGCTTGCTTGTTTGTTTTTAATATAAAAAGTTCTTATTTTACAAATGTAAAAGCACTTTCACAACAAAAGTGAAATGAATACGCCTCAGGGTGAAGGAAATGTAAATTCATGTCTGTACACTTTGTGTTGCTGTCCAGCCAGCCCAAAGTGGTCTTCCACCTTCTTGCTCCTTTGCAGTCCTGTTTGTGATGCTAATTTGTGGTGGCTTCTGCCGCTGCTCTGAGAAATCACTCTCAAAGACTTGAGGTTTTGATGCCAGAAGATAGACTTTATTATCATAGATAATGAATCTCTGCAGAGAATCTGTTGAGTCTGTGCCTCACACACTCTTTATATAGGTTTCCATAAGCAATACATATCATTCAGATCCCTATTGCTAGTCTATATCTCCTCATGACTGCGTAATTGTAACACAAAGAGATCTCAGTTCATCATATGTTAGCACAAGATCATCCTTCTCTTAATAGCAGCTCATCCTACTTGAGCACACACAGTTAAATACATAACTATAATAACTCAGTTACACACACTCCACTCTCCTCCAGAACTCTATACACACAGGCAAACACATGATCATAATAGTTGATACACAAGTGGCTACATTTAGATACATTATACTTTATTAATTCATATTTTGATTAATAGAAATCTTCTACAGGTGCAGCTCAAACAAATTGCATGAAGAATATGACGCAAGAGAAGAAAGTTCAACACTATTCAGCAATAACAAAAATGAAACAAATGTATCATTTTTGCTTAGTATGGTTGAATTGGATCATCGATGGTCAGTAGCAAAGACTTGGGTTAATAAAATGGGATTCAATTTTAAGTCTTATTTAACATTTAATTACTGCAGGTTTGTATAAAATTTTGAATCTGTTTTGTGCTCTGTCTCTCTTCAACACCGATTCTCATCTGAGTGTCTGTCTGGGACTGACATCTAGTGGATGTTTTATTATCTGTGACCTTTAGATTTGCAGACATCTGTTTTTCACACGTCAGGCAAACCCAGAACCAGGAAACAGGAATCTCCAGAGTTCAGGAGAAAGAGAAACTGACGTGTATTTTAGCTGCTGCGTTTGTGTCTCTGTATTCATGCAGTAAAATGGCAGAAGCCAGATTTTCTCAGGATGAGTTAACCTCTCCAGTGTGTCTGGATCTCCTGAAGGATCCAGTGATGATTTCCTGTGGACATAGTTACTGTAAAAGCTGTATTACATTCCACTGGGATCAAGAGGATCAGATGAGAGTCTACAGCTGCCCTCAGTGCAGACAGACCTTCAGTCCAAGACCTGCTTTAGGTAAAAACACCATTCTGGCTGAGATGGTGGAGAAACTGAAGAAGACTAAACTTCCTGCTGACTGTTACGCTGGAGATGTGCAGTGTGACGTCTGTAATGGAAGAAAATACAAAGTCGTAAAGTCCTGTCAGATTCTATTCTTTCAGTCCCATCTAAGCCCACTGTGTGATTGTGATGTGTGTCCTAACAGTGCTCGGCACAGACAGCAGTGGAGGACAGTGAGAGGAACTTTACTGAGCTCATACGCTCCATTGAGAAAAGACGCTCTGAACTGATACAGCAGATGAGAGATCAGGAAAAGTCTGCAGTGAGTCGATCTGAAGCAGCTGGAGCAGGAGATCAATGATCTGAGGAGGAAAAATGCTGAGCTGGAGCAGCTTTCACAAACACAGGATCACATCAGGTTACGCAGGTAACAGAGATCTAAAAGAACAGGATCACAGAATCTGCTGTGACAGGAGACTCGTAGAGAAACGTTTAATTAGACCAGAACGAGCAGTTGACAGCAATGCTGTCAGGTATTCAGTGTGTTATGTAATCATCAGTCAGATCACATCTGATCACCTTCTTTTTAAAAGAGATGATGCATCATTTCTCTGAGCTTTTTCTTCGGAAAGATGTACTGTATTAAACACCACTAGCGCCACCAGCAGTTCACTAATTCACTAACATTTCAATCTCATTTCTCCTTCTGATTCCATTATGGTGAAATAATATCATAATATCAGTGAACTCGAATGTACCAATTTTGATTTCTCAAAATTGGATCAGGTGATTTTCAAACCTGATAAAAGTTTTATTTGCTCTTAACACATTTATGAATTTGCCCACGAGACCCCAAACGTGAAGTGAGGCTGTATATTAGAAATGCTTCAGTGTATTGAAACCAAACAAAACCTGACTGTGTCTTAAGGGTCCTTGTGAAGTTTCAGTGTCCCTAACTGCTCTAAAGTTATAAATAATGGTCAATCTTATGGTAGCCTTTAAAGGGTTAGTTCACCCAAAAAGAAAATTAGCCTATAAATTACTCACCCTCAAGTCATCCTAGGTGTATATGACTTTCTTCTTTCAGACGAATCCAGTCGGAGTTATATTAATAATTGTCTTTGATCTTTCAAGCTGTTTAATGCGGGTGTTGCATGCATCAGTCCAAAGGAAGTTAAATAAAAAGCGCCCATCCATTAAAAAAAAGTGTCTCACACGGCTCCGGGGGGTGAACAAAGGCCTCCTGTAGCGAATCGATGCGTTTTTGTAAGAAAAATATCCATATTCAAAACGTAATCATCACTTTAATGTAGCTTGCTACAACAGTTGTACACGGAAGCAGCTCCGGGAGGATGACGTATGAGGTCAGTGTTGGTCAGTACTAAAATTTGTAGCTCTAATGTGATGAATGTGATGATGTGATTTACTAAAGATAGGCCAAGTCAACAAAAGCCTCACAAATCTGGGTGAAGTAGGTTATTAGGTGACAAGTTTTAATTTCTGTTTTCTGTAGAGTTTCCAGTCTCTCTCAGCACCTCCTGAATCTACAGATGTAAATGACAATCCCTTAATTTCTCTATTCTCTTTTGATAGCATGAGAGAATCTGTCAGTCAGCTGAGAGACAAACTGCAGGATTTCTGCAAAGAGGAGCTCAAAAAGATCTCTGACAGAGGTAAAGTCCTGGGCCCTCATTTATAAGCAGTGCGTACGCACAGATGTGTGCGTAATGAGTGCGTAAGAACAGTTTCACGCAAAGTGTGGAATCTACCAACTTGTACTTAAACGCAGGAATGTGTGTAAATATAAGCACAACTCTGAGCATGCTTACACAGAGAATCTAGTGGTAGAATGGCGATACTACAAAACTACAGTGCCGCTGCATGTGTCCTGTGTCCTTTAATTGCAAATGCTCAATAAATAATTTCATATTTCAAGCTAAACATTTGCACAATTAGTGTGAAAAGCTATAAAGGACAGTTCGGAAGTCGATTTGAAATGTAGCTATATGGTCATGGCTAATCTCGCTTTGCTGGAAGATTTGGCAAACGCAAACCATGCACTGCGCAGAGACCGTTTTTCAAAGAGCACGCTGATCTGAGAGCACAGAATGGCTTCTCAGTCGGTACCGCTTTCTTTGCCATTACTTTGGTGAAGATGTATACATTCACGTCAGTGGCGTACCGCACATCTTAGAGGCCCCCCCACAAAGAACGAGATGGGGCCCCTCCCACCAGCAGTGATGTCATGTACGAAAATGTATTGTGCACCTGCTGCAATTATGCTACTGAGTCTCTCTCCCATTTACATAACTGATTCATCAGTAATGAATGTGGTGAATTATCATTGCATTGATGCATTTCATGTAGGCTAATAGCCAGCACGTTTCAGTTCAAACACTGTCCCACATAAGACTCGCTAACTGTTTAAAAAAATGATGCAAGCAAAATCCATGTCTTTCAGTAAGAAAATTAACAGTAAAAAAAAAAAAAAAAACTAGGAGAAAAACAAATTAAAGGAATAACTATATATGCTACATTTTGAGAAAAATAACTTTCTATACATATACCAACTTTTGCAATTAACTTGTTTACTTATTTTACCGAATCCTTTGTGCTCTCTGAGCGTTTTGGTGCACAAAGTCTTTGACTGCAGCTTTAATGTTGATGTTGCAAGCGCGGCATTTCTCAATACTTAGATCTAAACTGGGCAGTCTTCTTTCTTGTAACATTGTGCTCCGGAGAAATGTCTTGATCACTTTCAATTTCGAGAACGAACAATTAATTGCATGACACAATCTGGTGACAAGTCGCCAGTGAACAGCTAAACCCAGCTGGCATTTCAACGTTGATTCACCGGTGAATCAACATCTGTCCCATGGTTGAATCAACGTTGGATTATGTTTCGATTTTGCAAATTGGATCAATGTTGATATTGTGACGTTGTTTCACTGTTGAAATCACGACATTGTTTCACCGTTTAAATCGCGACGTTTCACCGTCTTACCTTCAGCATGGCTGAATTAAGGTTGTTCTGTAGACGTTGGATTAATGTTGAATTAGGTGTTGAGTTTGCAAATTGGATCAACGTTGGTATTGTGACATTGTTTCACCGTTGAAATGTTTCACTGCCTTACCTTCATCATGGGTGAATTATGGTCGTTCTGTAGACGTTGGATTAACGTTGAATTAGGCGTTGATTTTGCAAATTGAATCAACGTTGATACGCGACGTTGTTTCACCGTCGTACCTTTCAACATGGGTGAATAGACAACTGTACGTTCAATTAGAACCTAGTTTGCATTTAGATCAACACAGTACATTATGAAGGTTAAAAATCAAATGACTGGCAGCAATGGCTTTACAATCAACTTCAATAAACTACCACATGCTCAAAATTGTAAAACAGCAATTTTATTTTGGAAACATACTGTATAAAACATATAAAACAAAAAAAGTATAAAACTTCAGCTTGCAGTGTTTGTGCATGGATGTATTGTTAAAAACCTGTAGAAGAACAATCCAAATACAATTATATTTAAAGGTTTTGTAAAATAATATACATATTTTGCACTGCACTTGCAAGAGAAACCCTTGTACTTGGGGGGGGGTTAGGACGATTCCAAGGGCCCGGCGTTACTGCGGGGAACGCAGAATGCAGAACGTGATTTCTACGAATCTCTACCAGAAGTGACAGTGCAATGTAGCAGATGAACAATTCCTTACCAATTTGCCAATAATAAGTTGGATCCTTGATGACTCTACAAGGGGAAAGAAGAAATGGTTTACTGAAAAGTTCTTAAAAAGCAGGATTAATTTTATACCATTCCTTTAAACCAGTGGTTCTCAAACTTTTTATACCAAGTACCACTTCAGAAAATATTTGGCTCTCTAAGTACCACCATAATGACCAACATTAAATTTCAGCAGCGTAGTAGGCCTAACTATTCAGCTACAGCTCTGCACAGTTCAAAAATTAGGCAGTTTTATTCCTAATAAGAATATTTATTGTTG